CTCTTTGTCTCAGCCCCCAAATGCCTTATTGAGTTAATCTGTGGTTCGTGGTCTAATGAATGTCTCTGATTGTTTTTTGCTCAGAAAGAATAAATGGAGACATAAATCAGCTTGGAGGGAAGGCAGCGATAGAAGGTTGTCACCCTGCAAGGTATTGAGACGACAGAGGAATGTTTGAAGACCAGCTATATTCTATTGATGTAGGATGAGAGGGCAATCATTGGTCCTAAACCAAAGCTGAATTGCTTTCTAGGAAAGTTGGCAAAGGTCTTCAGAGCAGAGTTCCCCCTTACCCTGTAATTCTGTGAAAATCATTTATTCTTGGCATAAGGACATAGGCTGATGAACTGCCTTGGTGAACGTGGAAAGCATTTGAGGTAAACCCTGACAGAATGGGCAAAGTCAAGAAGCCGACCCTTGGGAAGCTGATACTGATTTAGGGTTTAACTGGGCACAGTGGTGCATGCCTATACTTGTTGAGGCTGAGGGAATAAGATCACAAGTTTTTTAGGCTAGCCTGAGCTACAAAGTGAGGCTTTTTTGAAAGAAAGGAAAGAGAGAAGTAAAAAAGGATTTCGAGGCTTCCCTTATTCATGTGATTCAACATTTCCTCTTCTAGGTCTATAGCTAAAGGAAATGAGTGAGCACATTGTAAGGATACCCACATTTCTCTATTCCTTGCAGCCCTGTTTGCAATATCCTACATATGGAATCAACCCAGACGTCTACCAATAGAAAAATGGATAAAAATGCACTGTATATATACACTGGAGTCTTATTCAGCAGTAAAGAATAAGGAAATTATGTCCTTTATAGTAAAATTAAGACACAAAGACCACCATTTTTTTCTTTTCTATTTTTTCAATGTATTTTTTATTTAAATTAGAAACATGCTTGCTTCACATGTCAATCCCAGCTCCCTCTCCCACCCCTCCTCCCTTACCCCTCCACCTAATCCCCACACCATTCCCCAGGGAGGGTGAGGCCCTCCATGGGGGATCTCCAGAGTCTGCCATTTCATTCAGGGCAGGATCTAGGCCCTTCCCCATGTGTCCAGGCTGAGAGAGCATCCCTCCATGTGGAATGGGCTACCAAAGTTCATTCGTACGCCAGGGATAAATACTGATCTACTACCCAAGACCCCAGTGATTGACGAGGCCTCCTCACTGACACTACATTCAGGGGGTCTGAATCAGTCCCCTGCTGGCCTCTCAGCCATCAGTCTGGGGTCCCAGAGCTCCCTCTTGTACGGTCAGCTGTCAAAGACCACCATATTAAGTGAAACAAGCCAGACTAACAAAGACAAATATCGCATAATTACACTCATATGTGGAAGCTGAAACAAAAGTCTTTACTATTCAAAGATAAATACTAAAACAGTGGTTGTGTCAGGTGGTGGTGGCACACACCTTTAATAACAGCACTTGGGAGGCAGAGGCAGGCAGATCTCTGTGAGTTTGAGACCAGTCTGGTCTACAAAGCTACACAGAGAAAAACCCTGTTTCAAAACAGCAAAACAAAACAAAGAAAAAACCAGTGGTTGCCAGGATTGGGAAGAGGAGGAGACCTGGAAAGATATCATTTAGAGGTTACATGTAGTAATATGTGGGATAAACATGTTTAGAGATATAATACATAGCATGAAGACCATGTAGCTAATAAAATTAATTATACTGGGGCCAACAAGATGGGTCAGTGGGTAAAGGTGCTTACTGTCAACCCCGAAGACCCAAGTTCATTCTCTAGGACTCACAGGGTAGAAGGAAAGGATGAACTCCCACAAGTTGTCCTCTGATCTCTACACATATGCTATGTCATGAGCATGCATACACACACAATTTTTATATAATAAATTATACCATATTAGAGATTTTTGTTTAATAAGTAGATATCATTTGCCCATGACAAAAAATGTTTTAAAAAGTGAGTATTTGATGATGGGCAGTGGTAGTGCACACTTTTAATCATAGCACTCAGGAAGCAGAGGCAGGTGTAACTCTGTGAGTTCAAGGCCAGCCTGGTCTACATAGCTAGTTCCAGGACAACTAGGGCTGTTACACACAGAAACCCTGTCTCGAACCTGCCCCCGCAAGTGAGTATTTGGGGCTGGAGAAGTGGCTCAGCAGTTAAGAGCACTGCTTCTTTATTGTTATGACCTAGGTTTGGATCCCAGCACCCACACTAGGCATCACACCAACACCTGCATGCCAAAGGATCAGACACACTCTTCTGGCCTTCTCAGATGGACACATGCAGAGACACAGAGAAACACACACACACACACACACACACACACACACGCACGCACGCACGCACGCACGCACACACACACTCAATTTTAAGTGACTGTTTTCTTTAAAACCAAACTAACACCCTCCTCTACTTTGCTTTTCTGTGCAGTGCTGAGGGTAGAGCTCAGAGCCTTCTAGGGGCTGGACCGTGCTTTGCCAACTGAGCTATACTTCCCAGCCCACCTTTTCCTTTAAGCCTATATGTCCAAGTAGGGTGGGAAATCCCAGTCCCCTTTAATTAAATTTACTTCTAGCAAAAGGATGAGAATGAAGACATAGGGGATATGGGTGTGAAGGAAACAAGTCAGGGTATTGGCCAGAGGCCAGGAAGAGCTTTGGGTCTGCCTCCCTGTTCCTGCAAGCTAGTGATCCTCCGCTGAGCAGCACCAGAGTCTCATGGTTTCAAAAGAAAGGCAGGGAGAGTGTAGGCTGTGCAGGCTCCATTGAGGAGAACGAACAGAAGCTGGCTTCGCCTGACAAGAATAGCTATTTGGAGGAAAGGTCCTCAGTCTTGTTTGGGCCAAGTTTCTAGTTGCAGGCGCTCAGTGCAAGCTTAATTAGTTTCTGTGGGCCAACTGCAAATGGGGCAGCTTGATTTGCACTTGTTAAGCCTGTACAGCTACGAGTCGGGGTTTTTTATAGCTGCTTTTTCAGCACCACCTCATTAATCCTCACAGCACAGAGGGAGGCTGAAGACTCAGTCATCTTCATTTTAGAGACGAGCCCTAAAGAGGTGAAATGACTTGAACCCCATCATCTAGCAAGTCAGTCACTGTGCTGAAAATAGAGCCAAGCTGTGATGCTGGGGTGTGCTGTTCAAGTTAGCCCACAGGTCATCCCTGCTTTGTTCACTGCAGATGCAGAAATCTCCCTCTTGCAGGGAATCTGCATCACCTTACTCTCTGCTCCAGGCTGACCTTCTGCTTAAGTCTATTGTGGAAGCTAAAGATGATGGCATATAAATGTAAGCCTAGCATTCAGGAGGCCAAGGCAGGAAAGACAAGAAATTCAGGCCACCCTGGACGCGCATGTATGTATGTATGTGTGTGTTGTGTGTTTTGTGTGTGTGTGTGTGTATGAGACAGAGAGCTTGTTTTGCAATAACAAGTATGTAATAGGCAACACTAGGGAGTAGAGACTGGAGAGAGGGAGGTTCGTTGTGTCTTAGTGTCCCTTCCTGGCTCATCCCTCTAGGTTCTGTATCTTTGAGGTGCTTGGGCCCAGATTTGTGGGAACATGTCAGTCCTAGACAGCCTCTCTTTGGGGTCTGTGCTACCAGCTCATCTCATTCATCTGCTAGAAACTATATATATGTATGTATATATTATATAATATATATATATGTATATATTCTGTCAAAGCATGTCTAGGAGCTAGGAGTCAGGAAGAATGAAGATGGATGTCATGTAGTTAAGTAAGGAAATGTAACCAGAGTTTTTTTTAACAGGTTTGGAGTGTATTTGAAATGCTAAGTATTCTTTAAAAGTAGCAAAATAGCTAAATGAAACAAAAGAAAGAAAGAAGACATCAGCCAAGGTTTATCTTTTTCTCCATGATTTCCTGTTGTTTTTGGTATTTGAGGGGTGAGTTGTTAGAGATGACAGAGTCTCACATATACTAAGCTGGTCTTGAACTCCTGCCTCCACATCCTGAGTACTGGGGTCATAAGCATGAGCCACCACATCCAGCTTTTTTGTTGTCATGTTACTTTTGGCATCATGGTATCTTTATTTAAGAATAATATGCCATATGAATGATCTTTTCCTTCCAAATCTTCTGAGGTAATCTCATGTGTCAGGAATATGAGCCACACTAACAATGGTGCTTGGATATGTCAGTCAGCATACTGTCACATACCCTGTGATGATCATAAGTGACCCCATAACAGTGAGCACACGGAAGAGGCTAAGGGACTACCTAGAAACTCCCCTGCTATTTTGAGTGTGGTTTTGGAAGACACAACTACTGTATTCACAAATGACCATGTACATAAGCTTGCATCCTCCCTAGCTCTGTGAAAGGCAACTGGTACAAGCACAGGCTGGTAGAGAGAGGTCAGGGGCAGGTTGGCTCCCAGCATCCTGCATTTCACACTCCATCTTATCCACACCTGCTACAGTCACCTAGACCCAGAGCAATACTTGCATGCCATTTTCCCAGTGAGTGTGGCTGCATTCATGGTTCTGTATCCATGGGGATGCTTCAAATGTGGGGCCAGGCTGAGCAATGTGGGCCAGCAGTTGAAAGCATGGGCTGGATAGAAAAACTGACTGTCTTCTTACCGTCTGTGAGCCCTTGAGATAGTGACTAAACCTCTCTGGGCTTCAGTTTTCTTCCCTGAGAAATGGAGATAGATGGTTATTACCTCTCTCATAGGAGTGTTGTGAAGATGAAAAGAGATCATGCATGTAAAGTACTTAGGCAGGTGCCTAGCATATGACAAACATTCATATGCAGTTTTTTCCTTCAAATTTGAGAACAGGTTTTTTTGTTTTGTTTTGCTTTTTTGGTTTTTCGAGACAGGGTTTCTCTGTGGCTTTGGAGGCTGTCCTGGTACTAGCTCTAGTAGACCAGGCTGATCTTGAACTCACAGAGATCCACCTGCCTCTACCTCCGGAATGCTGGGACTAAAGGTGTGTGCCACCAACGCCCAGCTGCAGGGATAATTTGTATTATTAATTTTTTACGACATTCCCTGTTGGACTGTAGGAGCCGCGTGGTTCGGAACCGGGTGAGGAAGACCCGGCGGGTGCCGCGGGGCTCTGGAAACTCTGGAGCAGCAGTGGCCGCACAGGGTGGCCTGGGAAAGTCAGCAGTCAACAGTGCAGTGACAGGAGCCGCAGCCCTGTGGCCCTGGAACTTCCTAGATGTGAAATTTCAACAAGAATTCAAGTCTTTTTTTCTAAGAAACTCAGAGAAGAACCACAAGAACAATGGATGCTTCTATGATAACTGCTCCCCAGGGTCTGTTATCATTCAGGGATGTGGCTGTGGACATCTCACAGGAGGAATGGGTATGTCTAGATTGTGCTCAGAGGGCTTTGCACGTGGATATGATGTTGGAGAATTACAACAATCTACTCTTTGTACTCCATGGCCTTCTTGGATTGGGGATGAGGATGTGGATTCTCAGCTTTCTGTTCCACCAACATAGCTATTTGCTGTCAGCCCTCCCTGTTGTAATAAACTCTTTGCCCATTGGAACTATTTGCCAAAATAACCTTTTTGCATCAAAAAAAATTTTAGTGTGTGTGTGTGTGTGTGTGTGTGTGTGTGTATACCAGTGGGCACTCCTGTGTCTTGGAGTATGTGGAGATGGGAGGAAATCTTGTGGGATTCAGCTCTCTCTTTCCACCATATGAATCCCAGGGATCAAACTCACGTCACCAGGTGTGGCCTTCACCCACTGAGGCATCTTGCTGTGCCTCAAGTGTGTGTGTGTGTGTGCGCGCGCGTGTGCGTGTGTGTGTGCGTGTGTGTGTGCGTGTGTGTGCGTGTGTGTGTGTGCGTGTGTGTGCGTGTGTGTGCGTGTGTGTGCGTGCGCGTGTGTGTGCGTGTGTGTGTGCGTGTGTGTGTGTGCGTGTGTGTGTGTGTGTGTGTGTGTGTGTTGAAGAAGGAAACAAGAGTAAGCCATCAACACCTAGGGCATCACAGATAAGACATCAGGGAAGCTGCTTGTGAGCTCACCCCTGAGGGGTAGGTCCAACTGAAAACTCCAGGCCTACCATTAATTAATTAGCTCATGTCTTCACAGGGGACTTGCTACATAGATATGGGTGCCTTTGGGAGTCACCGGCAGCACAGATGCCAGTAAAACAAGCAGTCTGTCCCTATGAGAAGGCATGCCTTCTGCATTCCCATCTAATTGTGGCTTACAGCAGGATGGGGCTTTCCACCCTAGAGATCTTCCTTCATAGACCCGGGACGGAACCTTCAAAACTCACTTTCTCCTGCTCCAGGAAGGATGTCCTTCTTGCTCCAGATGCTCACTCTCAGGCTGGCTTTAAGGCTTCAGGATGGAGAAGGGGATAGAGTTATTACTCCCATCCTATTGGCTGCTGGGATAAATTTGATCCTAAGTTATAAAAGTGCACCCCTTTCCAGTCTGGCAGTTGTTTCTCTCCTATCCTTTTGGCAGCAAAAATTCTGGCTAAGGCAGGTCTTTTCAATTCATGGCTGATGAAATTGCCTATTATCCACAATGTCTTGAAAACAGCTTGAAAAAATGTGACTGTGCCAGCCCCACCAGCCCTCTGGGCCCATGCCAACAGTCTGAACGCATTTTCACTTAATTGGCTGAAGTCATAAAGGCAGGAGTCAGGTTCTGAAGGAGCTGCCTCAGGCGGTTGGGAAGCATCAGCTCCAGGTTCCAACTCCAGCTAAAGATGACCAGGAAGATGCTGGTGGGAACAGGACTTCTCCCAGGGCTCAAGCACCTGCAGGGAATGGTGCTGGGTCCACAGGAAGTGAGAACAATAGTCGCCTCAGGAGAGTTTCAGAAACTTGGGGAAGTACTTGGTTAAACTCAGCTGAATTGATGGACACTGGGTTGTAGCTTCAACACCTGTGTTGACTTATTTTCAAACAGGGTCAGCTACAGCGTTGGTTGGCCTAGAACTCACCATTTAAACTACACTAGCCTCAAACTTGTACTTCCAGCTTCCTGAGTGCTGGGATTATAAGCATATGCCACCACGTCTGGTTTCCAGTTTTTTCTCCTTTCTCTTCTGTATCTCTTTCTGAGACAAGGTCTTATATATTCCAAGCCTAGCACACACCTACTTTCCCAGGGTGTCTCTGAACTGATTATTCTGTCTCCATCTCCTAAGTGTTGAGATTATAGCACCACACCCAGTTTTTAAAAAAATGATCTCTCTCTGTCTCTGTGTCTGTGTGTGCGTGTGTGCACATCCGCGCATCCATACAAGAGTGTCCACAGGGGCAAGAAGAAGGTGTCACATCCCCTGGAACTGCAGTTACAGGTGGTTAGAAGACACCTGGCATGGTACTGGGAACTATTATTCTCTGGTTCTCTGGAAGAGCAGTGTTACTGCTGAGCCATCTCGCCAGCCCCTATGCCCAGTTCTTTTTTATCATTTTTATTTTAATTTTAAATAGCTTCTTTTACATGCCAATCCCAGTTCCCTCTCTCTCCCCTCCTCCCGCACTCCCCTTCCCCCCCAGCCTCCCACCCTATTGCCAATTCCTTCCACATAGGGGATATCTAGAGTCTGTCATTTCACTCTGGGTAGGGTCCAGGCACTCCCCCCAAGAGTCCAGGCTGAGAGAGCATCCCTCTTTGTGCTATGGGCACACGAAGACTGTTTGTATTCCAGGGATAGACACTGATCCACAGCTCAGGGCCCCATAGGTTGCCCAGGCCTTCTTGCTGACACTCACATTTGGGGGGTCCAGATCAGTCCCATGCTGTATGCCCAGTTCTTATGCAGTGCTGGTGATTCATCAAACTTGGCACTTTGGGCACTCTAGCAAGTACTCTTATCAATTAAGTCACAATTCCAACCCCCACCTCTTCTTCTCATAGGATGCCAGACTGCACAGCCATGTCTCACTACACAACCCTGGTCTACTGATTCCCAGTGCCTTTTTCACGCACAGAAGACTGAAGGGGCTCGTTGATGATACTCATCTAATTTGGCGTCAATTTACACAACAGACCTTTTGAAGACCTACTATGTGCTAGCTCTCTGTGCACAAAGACCCCAATGTAGAACCGGGTAAGATCACGGGGCCCTGGTAGTGTGTTTAGTGCAGGGCCTGATACTCAACTTTGGGTGTCATCTAGCTTCACTTTATATGGACATTCCACTAAATCCAAACCTTGGTGTCTTAGAGGCAGCATCCCGAAGAGCTCTGCTATCAGTGTCCATGATTTCTCCCACATAAGCATTGGGGAATCTGCCGAGTGGTCCAAGTGGACTGTGCTACCTCCAGCTGCTCCTCTCTCAATCCTTTGCTTGTAAGCCTTTTAACCAGGATCTCTGCAGACCCAACAAAAGTAAATCTTTGTGAGAAAGTTTTGTTGTGATTCTGCAGGTCCTCTGAACATGATGTCAACAAGGTAATAGGTCTGGGTGGAGTTGAAATTAACCAGGCCATGTTCCCCTGGGGTTATTATCATCACCCAGAAGGAGGACTTTCTACCTTGTCATCTATGAGCATGCAGCAGGATAACATGCCTGCTTTTGTGCCAAAATACACGGAGACTCCTGGGAATCTGTGTTTAATGGAAGAAATGAACATGATAGGAGGAAGTAAAGGTTTCTCCTTTTTGTTTTGTTTTGTTTTTTTGAGACAGGGTTTTTCTGTATAGCTTTGGAGGCTGTCCTGGAACTTGCTATGTAGACCAATCTGGCCTTGAACTCACAGAGATCCTCCTGCCTCTGCTTCCTGAGTGCTGGGATTAAAGGAGTGTGCCACCAACGCTCAGGTTTTTTGTTTGTTTGCTGTTTGTTTTTGCACATTGTGCTTTTGTCTAGCCTCAACCCTTCATTTTTGAGGTCATGGCTGTGGGGGCCAGGTAAACCAGAGGTTCCAGGGCCAACAGAAATTGGGAAACATCTTACTTTTGTGGCCATCCGGTGTTTTCTAAGAGAAACAAGGGGGGGGTCCCCTGTGTGTGGGAGGGACATGGGAGGAGTGGGATCCTTAGCTGTCATCACCCAACTGAGCCCATGTATAAGGGGACAAAGTTGCAGGAGGAACACAGGACTGTCCCGAGCCAGCAATTCAAGGAGACAAGGACATTCACAGAAAGGCACTACAAAGACTTATTGGGATCATAAGATGAATAGATTTAATCATTCTTGTTTGTAAAACAAGACATAAATTAGTGTAATATATAATTTATATATTTATGTAGTATACATACTATATACAGACATTAGAAAATGTTCCCTCTCCGTGAGGCTGAGGGAGAGGTGAATGGCAGCGATGAAATGACACACGCAGGGTCTGAGTGGCGAAGGTGGAGGATCAAGAAGTTGGGAGAAGAGGAAGACCATGCCAGAACTGTGCTGGCACTGGTCGTGGGGGAAAGGGTTCCCCATTGGCTGCATCTCTGGCCCATTAAACATCTTGGTCCTGTGGGAGGAGAGGCAAGGAAGAGGGGTTGGCTTCCCTAGAAGGGCACCCCTCCTCCTTGCTGGGAAACCTTGCCACTCATGAGGCTTTATTGCGCTGGGATCGCCAAGGATAGGCAGGGGCTCGGCACAGTGTCCATTTTATAAAACTCACATAAGAACGAGAGATTTCACATAGGCCTCTCACACAGTGATGAAGGAGAGACCGACACTGGGTGGGAGGGTGTGGGACACAAGCAGCTATGGAGAAGTGGACAAGAAGCAATCTATACAGAAGAAACATTGGCTTTCTTTGTCCTCCACAGTAGGACTACTGCAGGGACTCCGTGTCTTCACTCCCAGAAGGGCTGGGGAGGAGGGTGATGGCAGCAGCGGCAGCAGCGGTGGCAGCGGTGACAGCGGTGGTGGTGGTGGTAGCAGCGGCAATAGATGAGTGTCAAGGAGGATGCTAAACAGTGTGAGTTCCCTTCCAGATGGTTCCAGAGAGGGAGAGAGAGGTGCAGGACTGCACCGGGTAAGGCGCTCAGCTTCTTTTCTTAGAGACACAAATCCACAGGGTCAATACACAGCCAAAAGCATATACTCAGGATTAACATATCACGCTAGCTTCCAGAAATTTAAGATATAGTCATCAACACCCCCACCCCTCCCCCCTCCCCCCACCCTCCCCATCCCAATCCGTAGCTACGGCAAACTCCTAAGGACAGTCTATCTGGTAGTGATGTTGAGAGAGGAGCCACACACCTCAGGCAACAGCTCCTGCGCGTGGCAGGGCTGAGCCGGGCCGGCTCCGATACCGGCGCTGGATTTCCCCAGAGCAGACATTTTCACCAGGTACATTGCCCAAAACAAGTGAGGTGATCTCAGAGGCTTGCTCCCTAGTGGACTGAGCTACCCTGCCCATCGGTGAGGGGCAGGGCACTTTGGGGATGGCTGGTGTGGAGCTGCCAGCCTGTTGAGCCGGCCACTAGCAGCCCAACATGGCTGTATTCTGCACATATCCTACCTGGGCACTGGCCCTTGAGGTGGCTCCTGCCAGGTACAGGGGAGCCCGTGGTGGGTGGGCACATCTGGAACGAGCGCCCTCTCTCCTTGGCTTGG